TCTCGAGCCGAATTTCAGGAGAGCTCAATGACGAATAATTGAGGAAAAATTTCAATCGCTACCGAAGCCCTACACCATATCCCGGTCGAAACAGACATTTCTCACCTTCCAGAATATCTAGCTGGTCGACCGCCATGAAAACTATATGATAGACCATATTGGAGGTTAGGCTGCAAGTTAGAAAATCCTCCCTTGCTGACCACATTAAAAATAAGAAAAACTACATTGACGTAAATAGGAGTGATGTCCGTTAAATAAGTTCCACGGGGCACCACTGTCATGAGGATCACTTTTAGGCGCGAGCCGACTGCGCGGGCTCGTAGCTTGTTCTCCTCACTTCATTTTCCCAGAAAGGCCACGTCACTGGTAAGCTTAGTCTTGCCTGAGCAGCCGTTAGTGATGGAGCTTCCCCTCGTGTCTCCCGCCAGCTGTGGATTACAGTCAGTAATTCGATTTTTGTCCGCAAAGAAGAATTCGGCGAAGGATATTCATACTGAACTCTGTCAAGTGTATGGAGAAAAGTGTATGAATTCCGGGATGGTGCGCAGATGGGTCAGACAATTTAAAAGGCCGAACAGACGTCCACAATGAACTGCGTGCTGGACGGCCATCGGTTTCGGACGAAACCATTGCCAAAGACGAAGCGGCAATGCTTAAAGATCGACGGGTTACTGTGCGGAAGCTCTGCGATTTTGTTCCTGATGTCAGTAAAACCACCATCGAAAAGATTTTGCGTGAACATTTAGGGTATTCAAAGGTCTGAGCAAGATAGGTTCCGAAAATGCTGACTGAAGACCATAAACGGCAGCGGGTTGAAGCGGCCCAGAAATTTCTCGATTGCCACGAAACTGACGTAGAGGAATTCTTGGATTCTAGCGTTACTGGTGATGAGACCTGGGTACACTACACCACACCGGAGACAAAGGAACAATCCAAGCAGTGGAAGCACACTTCTTCGCCGTAACTTCTAAAGTTTAAACAAACGCTTTCTGCCGGGAAAATGATGGCTACCGTCTTTTAGGGCCGAAAGGGCCTATTGTTGTGCGACTTTATGCGTCGGGGTACAACAATCAATTCCGACCGGTACTGTGAGACCATAAAACAACTTCGACGCGCGATTCAGAACAAGAGTAGAGGGATGTTAAACAAAGGGGTGCGTTTTCACCACGACAATACTCGGCCGCACACTGCCCTCATCAAAAAATTTAGATGCGAATTGGTGTCCCACCCACCTTACAGCCCGGACGTAGCTCCTAGTGACTTTCATCTCTTCCCCGAGTTGAAGAAAAACCTGGGTGGAACCCAATTCCAGGACGATGACGAGGTAGAAAAAGCGGTTTTAGGCTTTCTACGCCGCCAGGCGGCAGAGTTCTTCGATTCTGGGTTCCATAAGTGGGTGTCCCTGAATGCAAAAATGCGTCGAACGAAACGGGAAATATGTATAAAAAAAGAAAAAAGTCTGATATTTTCAAAAATGTATAGTTCAGGGCGAATAAACCTGTTTTTCTTTATGAAAAACCTCTGTGGAACTTATTTAACGGACAACCCTCGTATATATCTACCAAATCCTCATTAAGAAGATATCTAAACTAAAAGAAGACATCTACCACAAACTCGCGAAGAGATTTCAGGCCTTATCACTCGTTCTCGAGCCATGAGACTGAATATTTAAATCTCCTGCTCAGCATCGGGTCGATGCTCTTTATAGGAGGAGGCTATGGGGCAAAGAAATAATTTATTATTTAATTTAAATATTCAATTGAAGATATTTAACACAGATAATTACTTTATACTTACTATTGCTTGTTCATTTTTTTCTATCTGTATATAGTATCTTTTGGGGCTTGTTGATAATTGTCGACTATCCTTGCCGTGAGGTCATCAATAAATGTTCTCATCTCTTAATATATACAAAGAATCGATTTCAATGATACAATATAAATTTTTTTATGAAATTAAATTATTTATTTATATCTCAAAACACACAAATACAATATTTAAAATGACCTATCACTTTTATATTTAAAAGCTAATATTCACGAAAAGGTGCGCTTTTTTCGTTATGTTTAGGCGATATGTTCAGGCTTTGAAAATAACATCGCATTTACTTAGTCCTTTAATAAACATTTCAAATTAAACACAGATAATATGCATTTCTCGCAATTGATATTATATTATTTATCTTTTCCTCTATATTTATTAACTTATTCCGAGAGAGAGAGGTTTGTCACAACCATTAACATATTTAATATCGTGATCAAGGATATTATTATAAAATATATTTGTAGTCTAACGGTGTGTGTGCTCCACGCTATTCCTAGGAGGACTTAACGAGGAAACCATGTTATAAATGTCAGCAATGTGCCATCAGCAAGAACGTAAATCAAGCGACGAAAGGAGAGAATGGAGCCAATATTCAGGCCCACCAATTGGTGCGGGGAAAGCAATATTGGACCGTGAGCGATTGGCTTGAACGGCTGGTCAACTTCCCATTATTCGGTGTTTGTTTGTGTTAGCTGGCCTACCTACACCCAGGAAAATAGCCTCCTTTGTCATCCACCGTAATCCAGCTTTTGGGGAGAGTTATATATGGACTCAAATTCTGAAACCACCATTATATATGCTGCATCTTTAAAAGCTTATAAACGTTCTTCTACTGACATATTTTAAAATAAAATTAATGAAGCATCCATAACTATGTTTCTTGTAAAGTTTCATTTCTCTTTCTTTCAAGATAACATGCCATTAAATCGGTTCAAATAGGAGTATAACTCCCGAAAGAAGTTTATACTCCTAGTTTCTCCTGTTGAAGAGTATGTAAGCCCGAAAGCTAGACAAATAAAATTAGGGAAACATTAAGACGCGGATGCACAGTATTAGAGCTATAAAGAAGAGGTCTGGTAGATTAAATTGGCAAAACCGCTGGGAGGGTTCACCACTGATAAGCCAACCCTCCCAATATATTTTTTAATCGCAGCAAGAACGGCAGAGAGAGGTTTGATTGATTTGTAAAAGAAAAATTCGAGTCTTAATGTTTCCATTTGTTGTATATGGATGGAGCGTTATTGCTTTATATTAATGATGATAAATGATATTATTTTTACAATATTTGGTGAATAAATTCATAGAAATGTGTTCAGATGGTAAGTTCTCTCACCTTAAGAAAGTTCTACTCCAGACAAGTTGACAAAATAGATTATATCAAAATGTGTGAAAATAAGAATTGTAAAAACCTTTTTAGAAATTTAAATATTAATTTGTCATTCTATATTTAATTATAAATATCTTATTCACACGAAAACATAGGACATTTTAATATATAAAACATATATTAATAAATCTACTCTCTTTGTCATTCAAAAATTTATATTAAATATGGCTATTAATTAAATAGTTGATCTTTTACCTTTTTGAAATATAAAAGTAATTTAGTAGTTTAAAACCTAACATATGATAAGTGATATATATATACATCGTGATGAGTTTATCCAGTCGGATGACTGTTGTGGGGTTAGATGCAGTCGTGGTGGGCACAATGATCAGAATGGTTTCAGGCGTGAATGGAATAGCTCAAAAGGACGAGGCATGTTGGATGTCACCTCAGAGAAGGAGAAGGAGCGAAGGAGAGATAGCGAGAAGCCGACTCCAGTCGAGGAGGGTCTGATCTATTTTAGAGCCAGGGAGAAACTGTTGGTAATCCGACTATGTTTTTCGGACTGACGATGAAATCGGAGACCTTTTTCCTGTCTGGGCGCCGGCTGGCTCTCAAACTTTATTATTCCGTTTTGTATTACATGATGGCCCAACTGGCGAGTCAGATTGTTTCTACAATTTTGGCTTTTACACTATAACTACATTACATATGGATATCAAGTATATATTGAAATATATTACAACAGTTTATGCCTTGGGTGATAAAAATTAGCTTATGGTGATCAAGATGAAAGCATAAGGTAATTACAATGGGGAGAATAATTTGTGTACAAATTACTTTGATATGATGGTTATAAGTATAGTATATCGGGTGGTAAATATTGGTTTATGCTATGCTGAATTATAATAATGATCAATATTCAAAGGGTGGTGTTGACAAATTATAATTCATAATAATGTTAAGCCCAATGTGTAAAAATAAATGAAAATAATAAAATAAAAAGTAAAGATATAGAGTTGAAAATGTTGGTGATCTATACAGCATTGAGTGTTGAAATTAATATATATTGGAATGTGCATTGACTTATGGGTGAGATAATTGGAAATCTAAGATAAGTAGACATAGAATAGACTGCTTCTGGTACTGCGATGCAATGCGACATTACGCGATTGTAGGCATTGGTCCATCTACAGAATGCTGAATGTATTCTATATGGGTTGTCCTATCAGACGGATTAGGGAATGGGTAGTGGAAGCTTTGGTGGGGAAAAATAGTGACAGAGTGATGAAGAGAGAGAATCGTTCTGTCGCCAAAAAATATGAATGATTTGCTCGCAGAAAGGCAGTGGTCAATTTGAGGTGATTAAAAAAAATGAAAAGAAAAAAAGTGAATCGCCCGAATATGAAAATTCTAAAAAGAAAAAAAATGGGCGTTGATGCTCAAACCGGACCGTTAATTTAAAAAAAAAAGATTATCTAGCTAGCTGCTCCAGTTCGACTGTTGTGAAGGTTAGAGCGAAGAAGGGTGCGTAGTTGATAAAAATCAAGTTAAGAAATCGATGTTTTAGCGGATAGTAACGAAGGTATGTAGTGATGTCGTAAGAATTTGGAGGGTTGAGGCGTCGATGCATTTCTAAAATTAAAAAATAATATATTTGAAATAAATTTGTTATTTGTTGATATAAAAGGTCAAAATACGCTATGTAACATTGTACAAACATGTTAAAATGAATATAGTAAAATTAAAATATACAAGTATCAGAGTCATCAATTTCAATTCTTAATTCTGTCACCGTTTGATTTTGTGAATGGAATAAATACCCGAATATGGCTATTTTTTTTTATAACCATCGGTGGTTCAGTGGTAGAATGCTCGCCTGCAAAGCGGGCGGCCCGGGTTCGATTCCCGGCCGATGATTTTTTTTTTCAATTTTTTAAACTCATTTATATTATTATCCCTATATATATAAAAGTCAGCGTATGTATGTATGTATGTATGTTTGTCAACTATACACGTCCACAATACGTAACTAATCTGACTGAAATTTTAACAGTATATAAAGTAGATTCTGGAAAAACTCTTAGTGAAAATTTCAGGTCTCTATTCCGAATACCCGTCGTGTTATTTGCAAATTTGCTTTTTCGCTTGCGCCTCTAGCGGTGAAAATGGGAGGTAATACCAGCTGACCTAATGTACATGTAAAGTTTGGAGCGGGACGTTTCACAAGAGTGACATCCACGGCTCCAATTTATAATTGTAACGAATAGTATTTGAATAAAAAAAATTAATCGGGTAAAACCCGGGCGTTGCCCGGTTCATTCGGCTAGTATTAATATAAAAGAGATTAACATGATTTTGTTATATGAAATTAAAACACTGAAGATTAAACTTAAAAATAAAAAAATCGAGAAATATTTAAAATAAGTGATCATTAAATACGTGTTGTAGGATGCGGAAGACAAATTCAACATAATTAGTTGTAATAGCTGATGACCTAAATATATGTAAATGCAATGAAAGGATGTCTGCTGTAGGGGGAACAATGTTAATAATATTTTTTTAAAAAAGCTCACCTGTATGTGAGTGTGTTGTGGCAGGGGATGCATGAGTCCCTGAGAACCAATTCTGACAACCAACTGACTGTTGTGGCATGCAGCCTGGGCTACAAGGCAACTCTACTCCAGGTCCAGAACCCCATGGACATCTTCAAGGAGACGGCATGCTACTGGAGTTCACCACTGACCAGGAAGTGTGTGTGAGGGACTACACCAAGCGTTTTTTTGGGAGCTAGAAAGTGTGGCTGGAAGAATTGTTTTAAAAAAGGCCTATAGGCCTCCCTAGCAGTCCAACGGACTACCCATCCCATGTAACCTGCTACACCCCGACGCCAAGAGCCCCTCAGTGATGGAGACAGACCGGTTAGGCTTGACAGCTGGAAATGACCAGACAATAGATGAGCCTGAACCCCTACCATAATAACCACCACCAACCGCTTCAACCTTCAACTGAGATGAAGGCCCAGAACCCATCACTCGATAAAGACATCAGGCATGAAATTATATTTTTTGCTCTTTTCGTTTTTTTATATTTTAAAAATATCTATAATTACTTAAAAACAAAATTGAATATATTAAATATATATGTAATATTGTTTCAAATGATGCTGCCGACGTATGGATAGGCTGGCAGTCGTGTACGTGAGGTGAGTGTTGATGTTTTTTCCCACACGCGAACAACAAGAAGCAGAGTCAGGGCTATATGTTAGTACCGAGAGTGATCGGGGACAGCCCACGGAACAGAGGTAGAGGCCATGATACAAACTTGGATACCTATCACCGAGACATGGAGAGAGAGCGAGAGACACAGAAGCTGTCTGTCGAAGGACACACTCTAGAACATACTTGCTGCTGACCCCCCTGCCAAAACCTGTCCTGTTTACAGGGGTCGTCTATAAAAATGTCCCTGGGGGCCCCACATGGGCTGGGCGTTAGCTTTTTCCTTCTCTGTCCCCAGCTGCCACCAGCACACGACCACTTTTTAGATCTTTATTTTGACGTCACAATTTTTAGTTTAAATACAAATAGGGGGTATAAATTAAAATAGTTTATATACAAAATACGAGGTATTTGTAAATAGAGAGAAACAGTGTACATTTTAATAGAAGGGTAGAATCTTTTAAGGTATCGGCTCTTAATATTTGAAGATTAAAAGTTAAAAGGTTCTCAGAGTACTCTCATATGGGACACAGCATTGTTCGAGCCAGTAGAGGGCACTATATTAACAAAAAGTGACAGTTACAACTTAGCAGGCAGAGAGATAGCAGCTGACAGTACCACCGGCCATTGGTCGGCGGCTTTCCCCTACAGTAAGTTCCTTTTCCTTTATATTTATTTATAGGTCATCAGCGATAGTCCTTCAAAAGTTTTATTTTATGTTTATATATATTATTATTATATATATTTTAAATTGAATATATATGGTGTGAGATTCTGTCGACATAAGCTATAGTGTGAGATCCTGTCGACTCTCGCTATACTGTGTTAAACGAGAGGAACAGTCAGGATGTGAAGAGTTTTCAAGTACCTCTCTGCACCTTAGAAGACCTTTAACAGTTCTCACAGAGTACAGGCAGTCGTGGTCGAGGGAGTGAAAGACTTGGGAATATCCATACATAAAAAACGAAGAGACAGAGTTGTACTAGGAAAGTTCCGTGAACAGATAAAAGTCGAGCTAAGGAGCGAAAGATGGAGATATAAGAGTTCTTACTGTTCTACATGGTCGATGAGGTGGACCTTGGGCACAACCAACGAGGGCTCCCGCTGATGGTGAAATGGGCTGTTCATTTCTGGACCTGTTGGATTCTTATATTTCTTTGCCGAAATGAAGTATTGGGTTTCAGCGGATGCAACAAGGGCGTGGAATGAAAGATGTCATTGTTCCCTGGCAACGCCCTAACATCTTCTAGGCCTCGTTCGGACTTCTACATTTCGATTTTTGCTCTATCTCCACTCTTAATCTATTACAGAGTTTTATTTATTTATCCTCAGATTGTACAATGTACATTACATATGGTGATGTAATGACGCATGTCAATCATGTGGTATAATTATTTACAGATGTGTTTCTTATACAACATGAAAATTTTTTACAAGTATTATATCGAGCGATTCATCGTCGGGCGGACGTGTTTTTGCAGCGCTCCGCGAATTCCGGTAAATATTACTTCAAATTTGTTTTTAGAGTTATTTTTGAAATTTAAAATCTTTTATACCTTACTTATATTATTATACATATAATAACCAACTCTTAAGTACACTTAAACATTTTAAATACAGCTGATTTGCATATCAGCAGACGGCGCGGCGCGACCGCTTGCCAGAACAATATGGTCAATAAAATTGAAAAAAGTACTGAGGAATGTAGGATTCAGCATAAGATCATCTCGGAACAAATTGCTGACACATTAAAATCTAAGTGCTCATCTACAAATAAAAGCATAAATCAAAATGATCTTACAATTGTACAGGGTTTGCTAAAGCAATTGAATATATTGATGGATACAATGAGAGATATCGCTGTAATTAATGGCTCTATCTGTGATAGACTTGGAAATCTGGACGAATCAATAAAGAAAATATCTCCTTCAAGTCAATTTTATAATTGGTCATATGCTCAAGCTACGAGAGTTACTAGTGAAGACGATAAAATAGTTATGCAAAATCAAAACGTAACGGATAAAAACAATAATATTTAAATCCAAGTTAAATGTTTCCCCGGCTGATGTATTAGGCGAAGTAAATAATGGTATTAAAAAGATGAGAAATGAGAGATCTAAAGTCAAAATAAATAAAATAATAAAATCAAAATCTGGCGTAATACTTAAAGTTGATTCAGGTGAAAATTTGAATACATTGATTGAAGAGTTTAAAAAGATTGATGAAGTAAATCAAAAAGCATTAATTTATGCACCAAAACCACTTTATTATACAATTGTTCTTAAGTCAATTACTAAATCTACAGATATTAAGGAATTGCCCTCGCTTTTATGCAATATGAACCCAGAGTTAGAAGGTCGAGAGAAGAAGATAAAGGTTCTGTTCGCTATGAGATCAAATACTGACGTACAGGATGTTGTTCTCCGCATTTCCCCGGCAACATACCAAATTATGAAGAAATTACAACGTATATATACAGACATACAGGTTACATATATGAAGGATAAGGTGCTTGTACCTCAATGTCAAAACTGCTTTAGTTATGGTCATAGTAAAAATTCATGTAACATCATAAAATGTAAAAATTGCGGAGACAATGACCAACATGTTAACTGTCAATCCTTGCCCAAGTGCATAAATTGCTCTACACATCCTAAATATAGGAATAGCAATAATCATCGTTCTAATGACAAATTATGTCCTGTGTTCCTTCAACAAATGAAATATGAGATACAAAGAACATGTTATGCAGATTTATATCATGATATTGTTACTTTGGATTAGAATAGACTTATTCTTGTTTTTTTTTGGTCAATGTTCAAATCAAAAATTCTACAAAAAAACACGCGGAAAAGCAATTTGGTTAATAATGAAATAAGGGAATTTATTTCTAAGGAAAAATATGATATGATTATAGTTCAAGAACCATATAGTATAAATAATGAAGTAATCTTTAATATGCGTTCAAAAATATATTATGCAAATATACCGGGAGTTCCAATATATACCGCAACAATCGTTACAAACCCTTTCTTATCATGTAAATTATTTAAAGAGTTTTCAAATTCATTTGCAACCACTATATCAGTACAAACTACTAAACAGCAAATTATTCTTTCAAATATTTATATACACCTAATAAAATGGATACCTGTCATGTTCAATTCCATGATAAATTAATTAACATTTTTAACATAAATCCATTGATTTTAGCTGGAGATTTTAACGCTCGAAGTCAGATGTGGTTTGATAATATTATTAATCAAAACGGTAGAAGACTTCAACCTATAATTGATTTTCACAATATGCTCATACATAACAATCGAAACATAACATGTCGAGGATTAAGTATAATACGAGGGCCATCCAATAAATAAGTTTCCCTATTTTTTTTTTTCTGCAAACGAAACGTTTGTAAAAATTAGTTAGTATGGAAGCAATGTTCACTTGGATGCGTTTGAAGCTGGTGACCTTCAAATCACGCTACTCGTACGCGTAAGTCCGTAGCGCTTCAGTTTCCCACGGAGCTACCACTGGTGAACGTGTCCACTTGCGAACTCCGTTCTGTAATTCGTTTTTTTTCACGGCGAAAAATGAAACTGCGGTCAATATTCATCGCAATTTAGTGTCAGTGTATGGTGAAGAATGTATGAGCATCCAAATGGTTCGCCGATGGCGTTCATGGTTCTTAGAAGGAGGGCA